CTCCTTCCTAGTCCCTCCACATTGCTCTTGTAATCATTTAAATTTATTGAATTTGTACATTGTTTGTTGTCACAGGTAAGTAGTTGCCCTCAATGGAAGTGTTCATGTCATAATTAAGAGAAGCTATGGCAATTATTTATTTATGGACAAAAAAGTGAATATTACCTTAGATGGTGACAGATGTGATTAAGGACATTGTGATAAGATTGTCTGGGTTTATCTGAGTGGGGACCCTAAATGCAGCCACAAATGTCCTTATAAAGAAGAGGCAGAAGCAGACAACTTAGGCAGAAAGGAGAAAGTACTGTTCCCATGGAGGCAGAGGTTGAAGTGATGTACCCATAAGTCAAGAAATGCTGACAATTATTAGAAACTAGAACAGACAAAGACTGGATTCTCCTCTAGAGACCCCATTGGGAATGATGCCTTTATGATACTTGATTTTGGACTTCTGCCCTCAAGAGCTGTGACAGAATACATCTCTGTTGTTTTAAGACACCCAGTTTGTGTAATTTATTATCACAGCCCCAGAAAACTAATCCATAGTATGTCTCAAAGCTATGATGGGTGTTCAAATTTTTAAAAAAGTATTACTTTAGTAAAAGATACATTGCCATTAATCTTCCTCAGAATACTCCCTTTCATTTCAAATGCACTTATCCTGTCATTCTTGCTACTTTCTGAAGTGGTTGTGAGACTCCTTTTTTATAGGATAATTCTGCTGTCATGGCTTCCTTGATGTCCTGAATTGGTTCAAAACATTTACTTTTCATGGTCATTTTGACTTTGGGGAAGAGTCAGCCAGAAGTTGCGTGGTGCCAGATCAGGTGAATAAAGTGGATGAAGACACATCATACTGTTTTTACAAGTCTGTCTTTCTGTTGGATGGCACTTGGCAGCAGCATTCACCATATTTTTTTAATCACATCTTGTGAAAACACTTACAAAAGAAGACTTCCAGAACTACTTCAGACAGTGAAGGGCATATTTTGAGGGGGATTAATGGCAATGTATCTTTTACTGTAATGCTTTAAAAAATTTAAACATTCACTGTGTCTTTTGAATACCCCTTGAACACTTGTCTTTCCTTGCTAGAATGTAAGCACCAGGGATGATATTCATGCCTCTAATCCATGACTGGCACAGAGTAGCAGCTCAATAAATATTTGATGAATTAAGATATGCAAATCACGTGGTTAGTCAATTTACCATTTTTTGAACAAACTATTTTGATGTCTCCAGAAGTTCTCCAAATTTTATGTATTTGGTAAATATCTAAACTCAGAAAATTTGAAAAAGATAATTTAAGGACTAAATTTAGGTGTTGAGTTAAAAAACAGTCATGTAGCAATCACTCATAAGTGGCAAATAGTCATTATCATCCTAACAGTTACTGGGACAGTGTAGGCCATTCTGAAGAGTGACCCTTTCTTTCCTCAATTTTCCTGTGCAGTTCTTTTTCTCTTCTGCCATAACTTAAAGCCAGCCTATATGTGTGTATGTGGGGGAGGGGGGTTTTAAAATAAGACCACACAATAACTTGAACAATATGTGACACTTTCATGAGTATGGGTTGTAGATGTCTTTTCATAGTTCCGAAACAAATGAGTCATCTGATATTTTCTCCATTGAATTTCCTTGAATATTTCACTCTGCCAGTTTGTGGATGGTCCAAACACATTTGCTTGTGTACCAAAAGTAGGGTCCATGCTGCAGACCTTCTAAGTAAAGCTGAATAAGTGAGTGAGAGGAAGGTACCTATACCCCTTCTCTGGCCCTTACACATCTTCCTCATTACCTACTTTACTTTTCTGGAAGCTCCAAGAGCTCCCAGATCAGCCTGTTTCTACATCTTTAACTGTATGCCTTACACTAATTCAAGAACTATCTTCAAGTTTCCTTGGCTGTGTTCCATTTCTTTTTCATACTCAAAAACAACTTTCTTCCTCTGCTTAAATGTTCTGGTACTCTTCTGACACAGTTTCTTCCCAAAGTGAATTAGTTTCCTTGATTTAAACAAAGGCCTTTGGAGGGTAGAAAACTACTCAGATACTTGCATCAGACAGAATATTGGACTGTAATAATCAAGCCTTTCGCATCTTAAAATTCTCCTTCAAGAGTTGGCTTTATTTTCAGTTTTTCTTCATGCACTGGTGCCAGAACCTTATGCAGTAAATCTATCTGAGACGACTATAAATTCTGTGGATCCATGAGTTTCAAGACACATTTAATTCAGCAAAACAACCAAGAAGTGTTCCGTATCATCTGGGTATCCTCATCAGGAATCCCAGTTTTCCATTCAACAGCCAAAAAATTACCACAGACAGTCCTGTTTTCACTTAGCTGCATATCAGGACTAAAGGTCTAGGCCATTGTAGCCCCAGCACATGTTCCAGAGGCTTTATCTTTGTCTGATGTGACTTGTTTACTGCTGTGCTCAGTAGACATAATGTTTGAAGCTGAACAATACTTTATAAATTTCTCTTCTTATAGACAAGCTCCATCTCACAGCTATAAGTCAGGAGATACTTCCAAGGCTGGCAGGACCATTTCCTGGCACAGAAGTACCATTAATTTTTTTCTCTTGCCTGGATAAAGACTTTGATAATAATCATGGTTTCATTTTCTTTTTCTTTAAAAAAATTAGGACGTGTCTATGGAGCATAGCAGTATCTGGCAGAGAAACAAATTCCTAGTGACCCTAGAGACAAGTTGCAGAAAAATGTTAGCTTAAGATGGCTTCTATTGGTACAAAGAGAAGAGTCTGCAAATGCCTCATCTCCTCTGTAGTTCTGAATAAAATTTAAGAATACAGAAATATATCACCAGCATGGAACAGTGTGTGTGTGTGTGTGTGTGTGTGTGTGTGTGTGTGTTGAGGATAGAAGGAGAAAGAAGAGTGATGGAGACCACTCTGAGCAAGCTACAAATTCATAAATTGGCTTTTCATATTAAAAGTCTGAGTCTGCCTATTTAGCACATAGTGGCTGGCCTGAAGAGCCAGCAGCTGGTGTGTGGGAAAGGAATAACTACTCCCCATGCCACTGGTCAGAGCAGAGGTCTCAATGATTTGTGATGCTGTGACGTCTTAGATGGCAAGACAATAGTGCAGCTAAGGGCAGCATGACTCTTACGGAAAACTCCTATAGAGGCAAAAATTAATACATGGGAAGAAACAAATTTCCCATTAATCAATGATCTTTCCTACTAGAATATCTTGTTCCCTTGTTGCTAGGACCCTGCTCACATCAGTGCTGTCCACTTCACTGTTCCCCATACTGCCCCTTTCCCCTTCTATACGCTGCATGTTCAATTAATAGTGGCAAGCTCCAGGAGATGGTGTCCTAGCCTTATAAGAGCTTTGACCATCCTGAACCCCCCATTTATTCATTAAGATCTTGTCTTGTCTCTTTTAATACTGCCACTATACCCTTGGTCAGATGATTGGGAGTTTGTGCAGCTTCTAATAGGAGAGGAGAGGAAGTTCGTTAAGCCTAGAGCACTAATGAAGAAACAATGGGATAATTTTGAAAAGTCCTTGAGATAGTCACAGTCTCACTTTAGGAGTTCACTCAATAAGTTTTGTTAGTTTGTTGATTTGCTCAAATTGCTCCTCAAATATGAAACTCTTCATTTATTTTATAGATATATAATGGTTGGGAAGTGCTGATGTGACAGCTCTTTGAAAATCATATTCAAATCTCCTAGTCTGTCTTCAATATTCTCTTATCTCTTCATCTTTAATCATCTCTCAGCCGCTCTTTATCAACCCCCTCTTTATCTGCTTTCATAGGATTGTGGGCAAAAGCAACAGAAGACTCTTAATTGAGTTATGACTTTTTGTGCCCAAATATTTTTCTATGCATAAATCAAGTTAACAGATGTTAGTGTCTGTCAAATATTCTCTTACTTTCCTTCAAGTCTCAGATTAAATATTTCCTGTGCAGTGCAGAATTGAATTGTATGTGTATATAGCAGGAATATTATTTACATTTACATTGGAAGAACAGTCGTACCCAGAGAGAATAAGAATAAAGTTCTTCTATTAATATTCCTGTTTTGTAGCAATTTTGACCGGTGGAAAAAGGGAGAGAATGAAAAACCTTGTTGGTGTCATTGCCTTCACATTTTTACTTAATTAAATCTAAATGGTTACTATGATACATATATCATTCTATATTATGAGTAATCATATTAAGAAAGTTTCCTCTTTTCAAAATCAATTTTTTGAGTTTTCATAAAAAGGGTATTGTTTCTGTTTCGTATTGTTAGAAATTCTAGAGTTAATGGTTCTGGAATTATACTGCATGGTGTCATTCTCCTGTTCTCTAGATCTTACTTCTCCTGAAGGAAATGTTGGACCCTTAAGTCACATAACATTTATAAATCCATGTGCAGCTAAAGTGGCCTATGGGACAACTGCTTCAAATTCATCCAGAGCATCTCTAAACACATCCTTACCTTAGGCGATCCTAACTGTAATGCAAGCCACAGTCTGTTCTTTTGCAGAGTTCAGCAGGTTTATTGTTTCCATGAGTTTTATTTACTGAATATACTCAGTAGTTGATCTACTCAGGATGGAAATAACTGAAAAAGAATTGACAACAAATCTAATCAATTCAGTAAGGCTGAGTGTGTGTGTGTGTGTGAGCGATTTCCTGTATCAATAAACATACAGTTTTCAGTTTCTCCCTCTCACTTTCCTTCAGTCTTTTCAGGAGATTCAATGATGGGTATCCATATAAATAAGAAATTTCAGAATGACATGCAACACCAAGTAATTGATTACATATCTAACATATCCCCAAATGGGCTTTCTAAGCACTAATTACTGTTATATCATAATCTCCCAGAGGTCCTTTAGCTATAGGTTTTAAATGCTGTTTGTTACAAATAAAATGAATTCCTGGGGAAATGAAGGAAGCCCTTAGCAAATTGGTACTGCGGTGAAGAATAGCTTGCCAAATAAATAACTGGTGGTTTCCTTTCTCTCTTCACAGGAAGGAATGGAAGAGATTAGCTATGAAGAATCAGGGAACCAAAGGAGGGAACAAAAGATGGATAGATGGATAGTCTGGTATCTCAATACTCCATCGACATTGGTCCTGCCTTTTATTGGACTTAGACTGGCTTGAGTTGTAGGGAAAAGATAAGGACTCATGCAGTCAACTTCTATTCATTTCATTTTCTTGTATGCTCTAGGTGAAAAAAATGACTAGCATCAACATTTTCAAAAAAGTCATTAAATGAGAACATTCTCTTGCCTTGGGTTGACAGAAGAAATTTCCACATGTGGATTCCTCTTTTTCAAATCCATATCACAAATATCACAAACTTAATATTTCCAAGTGTGGCTCTGTCCTTTTAAGCTATTTCCACATTTTAAGTCCACAAGAGATGCCATAAAATGTGTGGTGACAATGACCTTACTAAAATAGATGGACAGCCTTTTCCATATCTTGTGCATTTTTTGTAGGTTAAAGTAGACTACAAGATATTGCTCTTTTAATTGCTTATCAGATGTTACTGGTAATCCTTTGTCAATTAAAAAAAATAAAATTTCTATGTTGAAGTTCAATATAATAATGCATATTGCTTAGAATGTTCTTTTTGTATTTTTTACTATTCTAAACAGAATATATAGGACCTCAGCCTCTTTAATATAAATAGGTTACTTATCTCAATGATCAAGATATGGAACTTGTTCTTTCATTTTAAAATAAAGAGTAATGTTGTCTTAGTTACTTTTCTCATTGTTGAGACAAAATAGCCAACACCCAAAGTAAAGGAAGAAAGGTTTTTTTCAGATCACAGTTTGTAGAAGTTTCAGTCCATAGTCACCTGGGTCCAAGGCAGAGTGGCTTCACAGAAGAGAAATAGTCCATGGCAGCAAACAGTAGCAATAAGCCTGCCTTCCCTCACTTCCTTTATATTCCATCCAGACTATACATTTATTGATTGGCAGCACCCACACCCAGGGTGGGGCTTCCACTATTCACTCCCAGAACTATGCTTTATAAACCCATTTAGTTATCACACACCCTTGATCCCAGTATCACACACCCTAGATCCAGCCACCTCTGAAAAGTCCCACCTCTGAGTGCGTGAAGCTTTGAGGGGACATCTAGATACAAGCCATAGCAAATGCTTTTAAAGAAATGAAAGACCTTAGAAACTCTATTTCAATCTATTCACAAAGATATTTGCTTTAATTTATAAGAAATAAACATACTATGAAAAGTAAATAAAACTTATTAAATGTAGCACATGTTGTCTTAAAATGGCTAAGTCATAAAACACAGTCAGTGTTTATTGTACCACATAATTCCAAAGTTACTACTTTAACATTTAAACCAAAGAGCTCTATCATTTACCTTAAAGTGTTTCCATGTTGGGTCTAAAAAATTGCAAACAAATTACAAGTTTCTTTTTAGTTATCTAAGAGAGGATATTCATTTTTTTCCTTTTTACAGGGATCAAACTCAGGGCCTTGTTCACGTTAGACAAGCACTCTAACACTGAGCTACATCCCTAGACATAAAAGGAGCTATTCAAGCTATTGCTATTCTTCCTGAAGCTTTTGTCACTTTTGGTAAAACTCAGATGCCTCAATGTAAATGTACATTTCACATGACACATCTCTCAAACCACCACAAGGGTGAGTTCTGATATCTGTAAATTACTTAGAGGAAAAAGGCAAAATTTGTGTTTTGTTTTTTTTTTGTCTTTCTACAGTTTTTAACACTTTCATGTAAAGATTTTCCTGTATTACTTAAAATATTTATCTAGTTATCTATCATCTATCCTATTAACTAGACTTATACACATGAAAAACTTTATATAACTATTCACATATATCAATGAATTATACCCCAAATCCTAATTGTGATTAATCAAGCCATTTGTTTTTATTCAGTAAAGTTTATGCTTTTCTGCCTACCTGACTGTGGTGTCAGTCTCTGCTTTGCTCTAGACATATGTGAACAGGACCTTTAAATTGCTTTCCACTCACTTAGTTACAAGCAAATTGTTGATCTTGTCACAGCCTCCCTTGCCTTTGTTGTACATATCCATGTGCAGACCACAGTTCCTCTTTGAAAATATTACCACACATGTACACCCAGTAGGTTTTCTATGGCTCTATCCAGAGTCAGCCAATTGAGGGTTGACAGGATGTCTGTAGGACAAATCGTTGGACCACGTCTTGTGAGTGCTTAGGAGATGCTTCTCCAGGCAGGTGGGACCGGGGAAACTCACTGGGGTTCTCAGGCTTGGGATCCAGTGCCCATTCCCTCATGTTCTTCTAAACACCATCAGGCCAGCTCCAAGTTTATTATTTATAGTGATTTCAATAGCATTTTGATTGAAAACAGGGTTTTGATCCAAAAAAAGTAAAACTGAGTACTGTAAATAAATGAATAAAAAAATGAAATAAACAAAACCCCAAATATTGATATTTACTAACTTTCTTCCTCTTTTTTAAATAAGAAACTGGTGATAGGTCCAGTTCCCCAATTCTTGAGCTGGCCTCCTTTAAAGCAAGCACATCAGGCTGGTGGGGTGGAGTCTTTTCTACTTAGCCGAGCATCCCCAGATTGTGTCGCTATCACTGAAAGTCTGGTGATAATGGGATTTTGGGAAGGAAATATCAGTGTTAAATCCATTGGATAAGCCCATATTTTTTTCTCTGAGCAGAAAGAAGTACAGAAGAGCCTGCCAGGAATGTTTGCAGGTGAGCAAACTTCCCACTCAATCTTTTCTGGGACATACAGTTCCAGCCAACTTTAAGCATGTTTGTAAACAGATAGGAGTGCCAAATCCAGCAGAAAGATCATGAGACCCTGCTCATAATGGCTGTGGGTTCATGGACCTAAGGACACATTTTAGGAAATCTGCTGCATACGGCCCAACAGTTTTGCACTCTTCTTCTTTGCACCTATCTGGTTACTTCTCACTCAAAATGCTTTTTCTGAGCTCTTAACTTAGCATGCAGCTTCTGTCTAAACTTTCCTGTTTAAGTGTCCCTTATAAAGGAATAAAAGCTTGGAATTTGTCTATTTGGGTCAGAGGAACAGTGGCAGGTTTTTGGAACCTTAAGAAAAGTAGAGCTCTCCCTGGATAGTGCTTTAGCTTACACACACACACACACACACACACACACGCTGTATTTATACACATTCAAATATATGCATTAATCATGCACATATATACATATACGTACACACAGACATGCACACATATATGTGCACATACATTTGAATTTGTCCTGAGGTTTTTTTCAAACACTTATAGGTTACTGAGATACTGAGATGATGGATGACTATGAAAGGTTGTGCATGGACAGCACACAGTAAAAGTCTACCTTTTCCACAGCCCTTGGCACAATAAGTTCACTGTGACCTTTCCCCTAATGCAGTAATTCCCAAATGCCAGTTGATGGACTGGGCGACCTCTCATCATAGGCTTCAACTTTCAAGAGTGAAATGAGAAGGACTGGAAAGACAGAATTGTCCCATGTAACTGTATTCAGTAGAAAGCTCTGCCCTTTTTGGGAGCTATTTATACAGGCCAAATTTTTCTTGCTAAATGTTCATTTCTTTTAGAAAATAAAGGCCATTGTAGATGGCCTTATTTGTCTAAATAGTCTTTCTTTAAAAGAGGAGAACTTTGGATTGATTTTAGAACCAATTTCAGCTCTGCTTGAAATGCGATGTCTGGAGAATATTGCTGGAAGACTGTGTCAAATCTCTAGACTTGAGGGGAAATAGCTTCTGGAAGGAATTTCTACTACACTGAAATTCTCCAGAGAATTTAGTTTAGTTTAGTTTTTTTTTTTTAAAGGGGAACTTCTCTTCCAGAAAGTATAGAGAATGAGATGGTGACGGATCCATTACCCTAGTTTTTTTCCTTTTCCTGACATCCACAGAAATATAAATGGACTGCATGTAAGTTCCTCCTAAAATGTGAAATAAAAAACAAGCAAGGTTAAAAGAATTGTTGTTCCCCAAATATCATGAGCAAGCTGCTTCTGTTGTTGATCTGTTCTTATGCTGCCAGCTCAAAGGATCATCAACTATGACACTGTGTCACAGAATCCCCAAGTGCTTACTTTTTCCTGACAAATACCATAAATTTTCTTGTAGTTACCAAGCATTGTTTATGCAGCTGTGATTTCTTCAATGAACCCTGACTTTCTGTCCCAGTGTATCTGTGTTTCAAAGACACATAAGAAGATCTCTCTGCTAGCATCTGGGGAAGACCTTTCAAGTAAGATTGCCTCATTAGGAACAATCACTGTGCAATAGCTCCACTAAAAAAGAATGTTTTGGGCTTGATTAAGTCTTCCCATCTTAGGTTACAGGCTTCATCTAAAGCAGCTTCTCCCTTGGCCTAAATGTCCTTTCCTGGGGAGAATGAAGGTAAGATTGAATGCTGACTTGCCCAACAGAGATCTAGAACAAACTGTCAGGAAATCTTAGCCCCTCAGGCAGTTGAATTCTCAGTCCTCTGAGACCAACTAAGATTATTTTCTTCCTTCATTTAACTAGCTAGATGATAGGTTGCCTGATGAGGTCATTATGTCCAGTGTAAAGTAATTTTAGAATGAAAATTATGCAGTAAGTTAGACCATAGTTCAGTTTTTATCACCCCAAATGGATACAGCATTCCTAATGTGATTGCCTTTGGGCCAAGACGGAAAGAAATGTTCAATCCCAAGGTACTTATATTTTCTGGAATGGATAGAGTGAAACATTTTTTTTTTACCTAAACACATGAAAATGAATTTCTTAGGTTTTATTTTCTAAATATCTGATACAAGGTTAAAAACTGTAGTAATTAATATCTCCTGTGGGGCAAGTAATTGGTTAGACCAAGTAGTGAAGCTTTATCTCACTGTCTATCAAGTTACTATTATCATTTTCATGCTTAGGTGCTCAAAGTATGACCTCTCACAGTACAGAGCAAATCCACTTAACTGTCCAATGGAAAGTCTTCTTTGGGAGGTCAGCAGTAACTTTTCATTACATGACCCCTTTTCAGTCTTCCTGCTTCCTAGCCTTTCCACATGCTGATCCCATTTTTTGGAAAGAAAGTCCCTTCTGCCCTGCATCATCTTCTTTGGAAAGCTTTCAGTGACATCTGTAGACTGACTGATGGTGTTTTCTCTCTGATATAGCACTTACTACTCCTCCAAAACTAGAGAACAGAATGATGTAGAGTGACTAAAGTGTGCGATGCAGTCTAGCCTAAGAGTATGAGGTAAGGAGGTCCCTCACCTAAACACAATCTCCCTCTTGCTTCCCCTCACTTTAGCCTTCCAAAGCTCCTGAAATATCTATTAAGAAATTCCCATACTCTTTTCCTTCAAGCAAATATGACTTCAGGATTTCCCAATCAAAAGCTCCAATAGCTTTGAAAATAATAAATTACTTTTATATAAAAAAACTCAACAGTTATAAAAGGAAATCTATGTCTGGAAAAGACTTTGCAGGTAGTACCTGGAATTTGGGCCTCAAGAGAAGCAGGAGGCAGGGAAGATAAATCTCATCCTTTCCCTCCTCCCTTCCTTTGTATTTCCCTTCTCTCTTCCTTCGTATTTGTTTTTGACAACCAACTTCAAAAGATTAGAAATGTCATGCATGAAATCAAGAAGAAGAATAAAGCAAGATTCTAAGAATCAATAGGATGTTTCTTTAAAAATCTTTGATAAGGTTCAGGGATGTAGCTCGCTGGTGCTGTGCCTGCCTGGCAAGTGCAAGGTCCTGAGTTCGATTCCTGGTACAGCAAAAAAAAAAAATCTAAAAAATCTGTGATAAAATAACTTGGTTCTCTGACATTTTGCTTGCTTATTAAAATCTATTAACAACTATAAAATGTAAATGTTAGATAAAGTTTATCTAACATTTGCATTTTTTTCAGTACTGGGCACTGAACCCAGGGATTTCACACTGAGCTATATTCCCAGCTCTTTTTTTTTTTTTATAAAATCTTTCATTTTGAGACGGATCTCATTAAGTCTCAGTTTTCCAGAATGGGCTCCAATTTGCAGAGTGCTAAGATTACAGGCATGTACCATCATATCTGGCTAAAAGTTGGGATTTTAAAAGATAGCAGTCTAAGCTACAAATTAATCTTAACATGTATTTGAATACCATTAGTATTTAATTAAATTTTGCAGAAACAGATAATCCTTAAAAATAGATGAACAAAAGTACTGAATATATAATTACAATTGAAATTTCACTTCATTTAAAAAATCTAGGTACATTGTAAATATATTTGGATAGTTTGTGGTTTTTGGTAAACTTACATATATAGTAAAGATCAGAAAAATTTTGGCTTAATTTAAAATAATCCCAATATGTAAATAAATAAGACTTGGATAACTAAAAGAATTTGAGGGTGAAATTGGGAGTTTTTAAGAGCAGATAATTTTTGTCTATTTTTTAACATTTACTGGATGTATTCATTTATAGTTATTACGAAGATTCAAATGCTAAATATTATTTCAAACTGTCTGAGTCAGATTTAAGGCAGTGGCAACTGTAAAACAAATTTTGTCCATGACTTTAAAAAAAATTATTTACATTTTCCACCGAGAGAATTAAATTATATCTCAGAGAATTATAAATGCCTATAATCATTTAATTAAGGAATAAAAAACTACTATATTTAGAACAAAGATATTCAGTACGCTAGGTTTTCTCTCTAATGGTCAAAACCCAACCAATCAAAGAAGCAAACAAAAAACAATTTCTTAGACCATTATTTGAGGACTTTCAATTTGAACATGCAGAGTCAGATCAGTATTTTCTCATTCACAGTTCAGAAAAACTACCCAAAGCAAGGAAAACAATAACAAAGGGTCAATTTTTGTAAAATTAGGAGAAA